TCAATTTACAAGGGGTCTGTGTTTCTGTTGTCACACTAAACACACTTGGCTTCATAATTGGTCTGATTATGATGATGCTCAACACATATTTAAAAAGCTAGGGAATTATAGTTATTGTTCTGACTACTATTGGTTGTCAGGTACCTTTAATTCTTCTTTGTATGGACTTAATATAGCTCCTGATATGTATCCTGACAATTTTCCTATTTTTAATGCCTCTGATCAATCTAATACAGGATCGATATGCGCTGGTTGTCAGCTTAAGGATCCTGATATGTGATTCTTTTTTGATAAATATGCCACTAATGTTCATCCTCAGAATTTTTCATTCTTTGAATAAAACTATTGAGGATGAGCTTGCCAATTTACAATCCTACATTCAAAATAATATCCATGCTCAGTACTCACCTTTTGAGTGGCTAATCAATTGGCTTCCTGATTGGTCTTGGCTCAGACAGTTTTTCTTTTATGCTATAATTATTATTATTGTACTAATTGTAACCTGTTGTTTTATTCAATGTATTCCAAATTTGTTTGCATTGTTTCATTCTACTTCCTCTTCTCTTACTCCTTTACAACTGCGATACATTCATAAATCTTTGAATCCTCCATTTAAAATAAAAAACGAGGATATGTAGAGTTGTAATTGCAGGAATGTTATTATCTTGATTGCAAACCTCAGGTAATGAAGGTTCCAAAGCAAATACAACTCAGGCAAACAAAGTCACTAATAATGTAAAGGAGGATTAGAGAGAGGAAGTAAACATATGTTAGACTTTAACTAGAGATAATTGTGTTAATTACTATGCTAAACAGTAACGAAAGTCAAGCAGAAACTAAAGTTAACCAATGTTAGAGGATTACTAAAAATGTGTATAAATGTAAGACTAGACTCCAATAAAGTTCATCATGACTGCCTCGTCATTACAACAAGAGGGAAAATTGGAAGCGTGACCAAAGTCACCGGTTGTTTTTTAATCAATTCAATGAAAAGTGTCAGCAGGGGTGTCCTCAGAGTGTGGTGAAAGGAAAGTCATGAAGATGGCCCTCATGGTTGAATTGAATCTCTGCCTATTTCTCATGTGTACAATGCATGGAACAAGCTGTGGGCCATTGATCTTGATCTACCCCATAACTCCCCAAACTATCTGATGACTATACTGCATAGTTGACACGGTTGCATTGGAACTGTGCAATTCTTTGAATGTTTTTCAACGGGAAAACCTTTCAGAGAACTTTAGGTAAATTTCACTGCAGTTTGGAACACGTGTGACTTGTTCCATGCCAAGTTAGGAAGTGTGAAGACGCCCATCTCTCCCCATAAGACCCCTCCGGGTTGATTTTCATCTAGAACTTATTTGTTTGATGGATGTCCCCAGAACAGGTCACCTGAACTTTTGATTGACCATGTGCTTATTGTGGGTTCAAAGCAAAATTCCCATTTCTGTGACATTTATACAGGTGGTCCTTGACTTACAACTACCGTAGTTGCTCAGTGATCGTTCAAATGTACGATGGACACACACAAAAAAAGGTACTGGTTTGTGGCAAAAATGCCACAAAGGCTAAAATGACTGCAGTTCTGCTTGATGACCGTGGTGATTTGCTTTACCACCACCACCACCACAGAAAAGTCATAAAAACAGATCAGTCACGTGATGATCTGCTTAACGACCGACATGATTTATGCCTATAACTCTGGGCTCAATTACGGTCATGAGTCAAGGGTGACCTGCAATTGTAACCTTAAACTCGGGAAGAAAAACTGAAGTGGGAGGTGAGTTCCTGAAAAATAAAAATAGACTTTGGAAGTGGGACACCAAGGTTTTGCAATAAACTGGAAAACTCTTGATTAAAATGAAAAAAACAATACAATTGGTAAAAAAAAATCAGTACACCAAATACAAGCTAGGCGGATATGGTCTTGTTGACGACCCTTACTTGGTCAAGGACCTTGGAGTACTCATATCAAATGATCTAAGCGCCAGAGGTCATTGCATCAGCATTGCCAAAAAGGCTTTAAGAGTTGTAAATCTAATCTTGCATAGCTTCTCCTCCGGTACTACTGAATCGTTCACTAGGGCATACAAAACCTTTGTTAGACCAATACTAGAATACAGCTCTAGAATCCGCACTGTATATTGGGCATTAATACAATTGAGCAAGTCCAGAAATATTTCACAAGAAGAGAACTACACCCCTCTGCTCACAACAGAATACCCTACACCACCAGGCTTGAGATTTTTAGGCTTAGACAACCTTGAACTATGCCACCTATGGTTGGACTTAAGCGTAGCACACAAAATTATCTGCTACAATGTCCTACCAGTCAATGACTACTTCAGTTTCAACCATAACAATACAAGAGCACACAACAGATACAAACTCAATGTAAACAGCTCCAAACTGGATTGCAGAAAGTACAACTTCAGCAACAGAGTGGTCAATGCCTGGAATGCACTACCTGACTCTGGTGTTACATCCACTAACCCCCCGCTCCTTTACCCTCAAACTATCTACTATTGACCTCACCCCATTCCTAAGAGGTCTGTAAAGGGCGTGCATAAGCCCACAATCGTGCCTACTGTTCCTGCCCCCAATTATTTGCACCTATTTCCTGTATTCATATTTATGTTACATATATTTGTATTTTATGCTTATTCTTATATCTATTATCTTGTAAGAGTTTGACAAATCAAATTAATAAAATAAATACCCAGTTCAATTACAATGCACTAAACCATAATGGGGAACCCAGAGTGGGATAGAGCCCATTGAATAGTTTGTGTGATCTGCTGTCACCTGGATGGGGGGGGGGGGGGGGGGGGGGATTTTATTATATTAATTTATTTGATTCTTTTCATTAGTTTTATTGTTTAAAATGAGGTTTTATATTCTGTAAGCTGCCTTGAGTCATCATGTGCGAATAGGCGGCGATATAAATTCACTAAATAAATAATGTGATTTGTTTGGTAGGAACTTGAACACTATTGTTTGTTCAATAAATTATGGTTAAAATAAATCAACAGTACTGAATCTTTCATCTGGTGGGGAAAAGGACAGGATGCATACAATTACAGTCCAATCTATGATCATGGGCTTAAACAAATAATTATTTGTAATTATTAATAATTAGGGAAAATAACAAGCAGGTTCACCTATCTCAATAAACCACAGATTACTTCACCATACTTCACTAAATAAACCACAACTGGCTAGATTCATAAGGAAGTACCAAACTGAAACCTGATGTTGGATTAAACCAGGAAAATTTTCTGGTTTAGACCAGAATGCATAACTTTGGATCCCAGAGCTACATTTGCCTCCATCACAAAATCATCTCCAGGGACCACCAAATATTTTCAGAGGGTGGCCCCCATTCCTCACTTAAACGCCAGTTGCAAGATTCATCCTCCCAATACCTGAACACTGGCTTAGCTCACTCATCATTCAGACATGTTCTGGCATGCTAATTTTGCTTTGTGCATTATGTAAATCCATCTAGTTGTAGATTATGCCTTCAACCATGTTTAAGCAAGCCATGGCTTAGCCCTCTGTGTTAAATACAACTAATTCTGTAGCACCTTATTAACCAAACTCTTTATTAGAAGTCAAGCATTTGTGGGCTAGAGTTACCTTGGTTGCTGAAGGTGGACAATGAAGATGCGAGCATGGCTGGACATGTTCACTTTACAGACTCTGATAAAAGATCAGCAATGATTCTCAGGTGACATGACGTGTCAGGACTACAGAGATGCTCACTAGCGACATCAACTGCTAGAAAAGCTCTGACGTCTTCAGGTCGAAATGAGGGGCCCTTGGTGCCCCCTGAGTTTGGTATTTTTTTTGCAGACATTTCATGACCCAACTAGGTAACATTATCAGTACCAGTAGGGAGTAGGATTTCACAAGCGCCAATGTCACCTACTTTGGGTAATGAAATATCTGCAAGAAAACGAACTCAGAAAGCACCAAGGAACTCACTGAAGTCTTCTTCAGGGGAGATGTTCAAGTGGGGGAGAAAAATCAAACCACTGTAGATGCTTTCAAAACTACCGGTTGCAGAACTTGAATTGGACCAAGCTTGTTCTCCAGAGATACCGCGAACTTCCTGATCCAACCATCTCCAGCCAATTGCTCTCCTAAATACATTGGACTTCAATCCCATTATTCCAGCAAAAATTGGAATGCTTTGACTTGCTAAAAGTCTGTAGAGATTCTCAGTCATCCAGGGCATGGTTTTTTCAGGAGGCAACTGGACTTTCTTGTTTTTCTTTGAAGACGTTTTTTGCTTTGAAGTAATTTCATCCAAGAAGCTTCTTCAGCTTTGACTGGATTTATATTCCTTGCAGACAGCTGGTCATCTGCATTCTGCATCCTTTTATCAAAGCGCTTGGAGGTTTATCGGTGTCCTCAGGGTCACCTGAGTGGTGCTCCTGGTTCCTGTAGTCTGCAATTTTTCCTCTGGAAATCCATTCCTATTCCCATGCCGTTCCAAGGATGTTCATCCCAAATTGTATAGCTAGTTGCCTCCTGAAAAAGCACCTTTGGGATTTTGACCTGCTGGTTGAGATCTATAGGAGCAGAAGTCCAACTATTTGGACAGTAAGCAAGCACTTGAGGAAGTGGCTTTGTTCAGACCTACAGCCGGTTCCTGTACCCGTTTTTGAGAGCACAATCTTCTTAAGAACATAAGACTTGGGTCACGTGCCAATGCTGTTGATGCCAGAAATGATTCATCTGTGCATTCTAGCCAGCACTGGGCTCACACCCCCTTTTCCAGAAGCTGTAGAGCAAGGGCGAAGCGGTGCAATGGTAGACTTTGTAGTGTTGAGTCCAAGAATCTTGCCTTCTATAAAGGAGGGTCCATCCACCCCGTGACAAATACTTTAGTGGCTGAGAAGGTGAGGGCATGGCCTGTTGCAAAGAAGGACTGCAGAAGATCAACAACAAATTTTACAAGACTGTTTGTCCACATCACCTAACTTGGGGGTGATTTTTCACAAATCAGGAACCGAGAAGGAAGAGGAGGAGAAGGGAGTTTCCATCTGATGCACCCCTGCTTCTCGCTGTCTGGTGTAACAGGAAGCAACATTCTGCAAAAAAAAAAACAAGAACAACTGGCTTTCTTCAACACCTAGCGAGCAGAAGGACCGTGCATTTGAAGCCCAATCTCATCTGTTTTCATATTTGCAACTTGATAAATTATATTGTGTAAGTCTGTAGATCAACAGAAGCTTACCAATTTCCCACAGAACCTTAGCTTTGCTCTTGATTCATCCCTTTTTTCCCCCTCTCCAGTCTAGTTGGAGTAAAAAAAGAGTTGTGGTGGCGCAGTGGTTAGAATGCAGTACTGCATTCTGATCACCCGACCCTGGGGCAGTGGTGGTATTCAACCAGTTCGCACCAGTTCGAGTGTATCGGTAGCGGCAATTAGGCGTGGGTTGCCGAACCGGTAGAGACTTCTGGCTGGCCACGCTCCCGACCTGGTTGCCACTGCTTGCTGGGGTGTCCCCACTGTCCCCGGAGCTTGCCCCTCCCGGGATGTGTGTGAAAAACGATCATTAGTTCACTATTTCAGTGCCGTTATAGCTTAAAACGGTCACTATATGAACTGTTGTAAGTATATGAGTGCTTGGATTCTCTTTCCTGCAAGGAAAAAGCACCTCAAGCTCTTCCTTAACTTTCCATTCAGCAAATGAGAAAAGCAACATGGCGGAACCTGGAGGAGAAACACAATATGCGGCCATTTACCTCTGCTATGATGAATCCAAGGAGACAGAGAATCAATCCAGCTAAGCTCAGTCGGATGATATTGGGCACCGTATAGTCTCGGCCAAATCCCACCTTCAAAGAGACTGGAGCTGCCACAAGAAACATTTGACAGGATCACCACCATGATTTCCTCAGGAGACCCAAGAAGCAAGAGGAAAGAATTCACAAAAAACTTTTCATTTCCGAGTGTCTCAAGCTGCAGGGCTGGTCAACAATCAGCAGCTGGGAATGGCAAGGAAGCCAAGCTCAGTGAAACATGAAGGGATGGCGGTAGAATTCCAGAAGAAGAGAGAGGAACCTGCCCCACTTTACACACCACACAGGGGGGGCTGTGTGGAGAGAATTTCCTCCTTTAAATTCCTGGGAGTCTACCTCAGCGAAGATCTCACCTGGAAAACCAACACAACCCAGGTGGCCAGAAAGGCCCAACAGAGACTCCACTTCCTTAGGGTCTTGTGAAAGAATAAAGTGGAACAATGACTGATGACCTCCTTTTACCGGTCCACGATAGAAAGCATCCTCTCATATTGCATTACGGTGTGATATGCTGGCTTGACAGCCGCGAATAGAAAGACATCACAGCACAAAACATCGTGGGCTGTTCCCTGAGACCACTAGATAACATCACAAGGGCTCGCTGCCTTAGAAGCGTGAGGAAAATCCTCAGGCAAGACTCACGTCCCGGTCAGCACTTCTTCACCCTCCTACCATCAGGTAGGTGATATAGAAGCATAGCCAGCCACACCAACAGGCTGAAGAACAATTTCTACCCGTGGGCTGTCAGACTTCTGAATGGAAAATAACTTCATGTCATAGTATGATAGACTTGCGGGGTTGTTGTGCGACAAGGTCACACAGTGTGATAATATTGTGACTGGGTTAGGGACTTCTGTCCTCACTGTGTTGGGGGGGGGGTGCACGAAGGGAGGCTTAGCGAATCTCATTGTACACATGTTGTACTCTGACAATAAAGGTAATAATAAAGAGGAACTTCCTGCGGTGAGAAGAATGGCTGGACAAAGGAACTGCCTGCCCCAAAGGGACATCTGGCTCTGCTTAGTAAGAGACATACAATCATCGAACCATAGGGCTGGAAGGGACCAGTCTAACCCCCTGCCCAAGCAAGGGTCTTTATATCATTATGAAGTGTTAGTACTGCTTTATAATGGCTTGGTAAGACCACACTTGGAATATCGCATCCAGTTTTGGTTGCCACAATATTCAAAAAGAAGATGTTGAGACTCTGGAAAGAGTGCAGAGAAGAGCAACAAAGATTATTAGGGAAGTGGAGACTAAAACATATGACAAACGGTTGCTGGAAATGGACATGTCCAGTGGAAAAAAAAAATCTAACAGCGACATGATAGCAGTGTTCCAATATTTGAAGGGCTGCCACAGTGAAGAGTGGGGTCAACCTATTCTCCAATGCATCTGAAGGCAGGACAAGAAGGAATGGATGGAAGCTAATCAAGGAGAGGACCAGCCTAAAACTAAGGTGAACTTTCCTGATAGTGAGAACAATAAACCAGTGGAACGGCTTGCCTTCAGAAGTTGAGGGTCCTCCAACTTCTGAAGGCAAGCCATTCCACTGGTTTATTTAAGATCCCTTCCAACTCTGTTATTCTGTTCTGTTCTGTTCTATTCTCATGGATAAATGAATATTGAATCTTTTCTTGATTATTCAATCAAGGTCAATAATTCAACTGATTGACCTTAAACAGGCAGAGTTATCTGATGCTGAAACTGCATCGTTTGCTTCAAGATTTGGAAGGAGAAAGCCCACGCCAACATGTCTTCTTCTAAAGTCAGACAAATATTGTGAGCTGCTTGCCTAGCACCCAAAATATAATCACATCACTGTGGGGTGGTAAGACAGAAAAAAAAGAGTAAGCTGCTGCACCTTTAATAGTTATGCAATGAGGGAATTTCCTCCAATGTGGCTGGTGTGGTAAGCTATTCCTGTTGAATTTCCCTCTGCTACTTTACTCTTAGAATCCTGACCCTGTTTGCTTGTAAAGATCTCAAGAAGTTGGAGGTAAAACAACACATTTCAGAAACTTTTGTTCAAAGGAAGTTGACGATTGGCTTTTCCTCCCTTCCTTTTGGTTGTGTAATTCGTGGAATTCCCGGTAAGTAAAATATCACCGCTTTCAACCCAGAAATGTGGGGACATTATTAAACATAATTTCCAGTTCGGTTTGTGTCTTCCAAACTTTGCATTTGGAAATTTTCCAGTTCAGTTTGCATCTTTCATACTTCCAAACTCGATATCCAGATCAAAGCAAGTTCCTCTGTTCAGATAGCAAAACATGGCATGATTAAGAGCTGTGATGGTGCAGGGGTTAGAATGCAGCACTGCAGGCCCACTTCTGCTGACTGCCAGCTACCTGCAATTTGACTGTTCGAATCTCACCAGGCTCAAGGTTGAGTCAGCCTTCCATCCTTCTGAGGTGGCTAAAATGAGGACCCTGATTGTTGGGGGCAATATGCTGACTCTGTAAACTGCTTAGAGAGGGCTGTAAAAGCACTATGAAGCGGTGTATAAGTCTAAGTGCTATTGCTATTGATAGTTTTTTTTAATTAAATACCAGGAAAGATCAAAACAATTAACTGGTAAAAATAGGTGAAGAGGCAGGCAAAAACAGGGAGAGAGAATACCATAAACATCAAGCAACAATTTATATCAGCGTGTCTCAACTTCAGCAAATTTAACAGGGGTTGACTTCGACTCTCAGAATTCCCCAGCAGCCATCTTGACAGGAGAATTCTGGGAGTTGAAGCAGTGGTGAGATTCAAAAAATTTTTACTAACCAGTTCTGTGGGCTTGGCTTGGTGGGCGTGGCAGGGGAAGGATACTGCAAAATCCCCATTTCCTCCCCACCCCACTAACCTGCTTTCCAGTTCCGTTCTCCTGTGCAGGGCAACCAAACAAGAATCAGCCAACCAGCTGGGACTCGGGAGGCAGAGAATAGATGGAGACGGGGCCAGTCAGAGGTGGTACTTGCCGGTTCTCCAAACTACTCAAAATTTCCGCTACCGGTTCTCCAGAACCAGTCAGAACCTGTTGAATACCACCTCTGAGTTGAAGTCCACACCTGTTAAAGTTGCTGAGGTTCAGAAATACTGATTCGCATTAACTCTATCTTTCTGTATCAAAAGGCCCAGAACTCTTCAGAGCCACAGGAAGCAATATGGGGGATAATTAGGCTGGACTATTCCTTTGCAAGGAGCCTTTGCTTTTTCCAGCTTTAGTCCATTTATATTACATAGCAGCAGCCATACAGAGATGGAAAATAGGATAGCCGGTGATCCCTCTTTGACATAATGAAAGAAACAATCGGATGGACGGAGATAATGTCTAAAAACATGATTACATTTCATCTTCCAGTATCTGATTTCATTTTCCCCTTCCATAGTCCATTTAGTTCCTGGGTTTCTTTTCTAATTATTTCCATCTCCCATACCAACCTTCTACAATTCTGCTTTTGCTGGAAGAGACCCCACTTCTCTGATCATCAAAGGCAGTAGCATTCAACGGAGGAGTGCTGGTTTCTGTTAAGATTTTTTTTTTAAAAAAAATAAAAGACATTACTTTTTTAACGCAGACTGTTAAGGACACATGTCAGCCCTGTGAGGAAATCCAAATAAAGTCACCACTAGCTCTGGTGCAAGATTACAATCTTGAAATCACTTCTCCTCTCCTTTCCTTTTAATTTCCAAAACACTAGGCAGGATTCCTTCTGTCCACTTTCCCAAACAAGAAGCACAACCATATGAACTAATTCTACTTTACTGTAAAGCTACGTTAACAGAATCTTGGAAGTCTAAAAGTGCAAATCTCCCACCTGTAGGGGATGACCAAGCTGAGCCTGGTGGTGGGGGAAGGGTCAAATGCATCATTAGTCTCAAATCTCTTCGTGGCCACAAGAGATCTAAGTCCAGCCGTGAATTCCATCGACTCTTATCTATCGCCAATTTGCTTTGACTGTTAGTAGTTCAGATTCTTGTAGAGAGCATTAGCATACAATAAACCTACACTCGTTTGATCTGCTTGGATTCCTGATTTCCTGGGCTTGACACCACCATTATTTTTAACAGCCCAAGAAACTAGAGAGGGTCTCTTCAGAGCTTCTCGCTCTACCCACTATCTAGTTGTGGGCTATGCTGCCTCTTATTCAGTGGTGGGCTTCAAATAATTGAACAACCGGTTCTTTGCCCCGGTTGCTGGCTGGGCATGGCTATGGTGGGCTGTGGAGGGCCCGTTTTCCAGTTCCCTGGGCTCTGGAGGCTCTCTGGAGGGCAGAAATAGGCCTATTTTCGCCTTCCACATACTTCTGGGAGGCCCGTTTTCCACTTCCCCAGGCTCCACGCGCCTCCTGCACTTACCTGGGATCCAAAACAGGCTGCATAGGGACTCCTGGGAGAGGAGGGACAGGGTGGGGCAGGGCCAGCCAGTCATCAGAACTACCGGTTCACCGAACCGGATGTAAAATTAACATCCAGTTCGCCCGAACTGCCTGAAGCCCACCCCTGCTCTTATCTAATTATTCCCTTGGCAACCTCTCTGCCTTCTGTCTTCCAAGGTCAAACCATTGCAATATGCCCTTGCTTTGATCTTCTTCTGGCTTAAATCTGCACTGTGTTTTTAATCACTTTCCCAATTGAGAAAAGCCCTCTCCCCAAGCAGCTGCTTACTCCTTCACGAGGGACTGTAAGTCAGAATGACACCATAACCATCAAAGCCTAATCCACTTTTATGTGTGTCACACACAGTACAGCTAAAAAGAAATGGGGCTTCAAATTGTGCACTACAGCTGTGCTCGTAACCTCCTTCCTCCCAACCAAGGTGTCCTTCAATGGCCCCATGGTGCGAGGAGAATTTATCTCAAGCGCACGTGAAATAACAGAGAATGAAGAATAAGGATCTCATGCAGAGAACTCCAGTGTTCAGATGTATAGACCAGTGTTTCTCAACGTTGGCAACGTTCAGATGTGTGGACTTCAACTCCCAGAATTCCCCAGCCAGCCCTGCTGGCTGAGGAATTCTGGGAGTTGAAGTCCACACATTTCAAAGTTGCCAACGTTGAGACACACTGGTATCGACTTCAGATCCCAGAATTCCACAGCCGGCATAACCATTGATGAGAATTCTGGGAATTGAAGTCCACAGAACTGACAGGATTGGGAAACACTATCCTAGACAAAGAAGAACCTGGAAATATGGATATTGTTGTCCAACAGATGGACAGCAGCAGGTTTGGCTACCATGAGTTAGCTGTATTACCATACATAGAAAACAGTTGCTTTGAGTCAGTGGTGGGATTTGGATTTTTTTACTACCGGTTCTGTGGGCATGGCTTGGTGGGCGTAGCAGGGGAAAAATACTGCAAAATATCCAGTCAGAGGTGGCATTTGCCAGTTTTCTGAACTACTCAAAATTTCCGCTACCGGTTCTCCAGAACTGGTCAAAACCTGCTGAATACCACCTCTGCTTTGAGTGGGCTTGAGAATGTCAATCCAGACAATGTGGGAGGGGAGGGAAATTAAGCATAATCGCACCCTTTCATCTGCTTTTAATGTTTTAATAACCACAGAAGATGCAGAGATTATTTAAATGTCATTTAAAATTTATGCCAGCTCATAAAACATTTTGTATACATGTTTTATAGTTGACAACAGAAAGAAGGGGGGAGTTTCACAGAGCAGGCGGCAGTGTGGAATCGAAAGTACATTCCATTCATATTTTCCTCAGAGACTGATTAGATGACTGAAGCTTCCGGTTCTCCAGAACTAGTGTACAAAAGACTTGCAAAAACTTTCTTGTCGGAACTAATTAGTTGGAAGCAGCCTTTTATCTGTGAAGAAACAGGATTCTTAGCTGAAACATTAAAAGGTTGTGCTGCTGCCTTTGTCTTGTGTTTGCTCTCTTGGAACCAGGTTTGGGTCAGAACAGCCCAGTCAGTCCTTATCAGCATGCCTGACATCACTGACTGCATTCTCCCCTGCCCAGTCACTCCTTAAGGTATTTCTTTTTTCCCCCCTCCCAACGATCAGCTGTTCCGATGATCAGCTATGCCGGAATCCCCCTAGCTGTCTTACTGCTG